TATGTACATATTATGAATATTAATTATATTAATTGAGGATCTTTCAATCAATTTTATAGTACTGTTCAATGCATATTTTCACAGTATTCACAGATTTGTCTTTATTTAATGAAAAATATTCACCTTGCTCTTTTAAGGGAACAAGATGACTTTGTGAGTTTGAGTTTTGCTACTATATCTAGTACAGGTCCAAACGCTGCCATCATACACTATAAGTAAGTCCTGACCTTAATATAGCTTAATACAGTGAGGTAATTTTATCTCTGATGTTTCGGTGAATACCTTTGTTGTTTTTCAGACCTACAGAGGAGTCTGACACAGTCCTCAGCTCAGACAGTATTTTCCTTTGTGACTCAGGGGCTCAGTACAAGTTAGTACTCAGTTATTGTACTCAGTTATTCATGTAGTATAGAGTAATTTTAAGTTACAATATGAATATTCCACGTTGACCCCAAAGGGTTCCTAAATTTTGTCCATTCATCATCAAAAGCTTGTCCCTTTTTAATCACTTTTTATGCAACATCCCGAGTATGGCTGGCATGCAAATCCATTTCATAGTCCACTTAGTAAAACAAGTGTAACAAAAGTAAATATTTAGCCTTGTTGTGCAGTTTAGAATTTTTAAAAGTTTCATTGCTGATAACTGTTATGCTAGAGATGGTACTACAGATGTCACAAGGACAATTCATTTTGGAGTTCCATCCAGTCATGAAAAGGTAATTATATATACTTCGTTTATGTTCTTTGTGTTTTATCCTTAATTTCTTTGCTATTTCCTGAATTATTTTGTACTTTTTACTGGTAACTTATTAATAACTTGATACTGCCATTTGTTGAAATAATAGTTAGTTTTACAAATGTTTCATTACATTGTATCTATAGGAATGTTACACTAGAGTTTTAAAAGGACACATTGGTTTATCATCCATTATCTTTCCCAATGAAACAAAAGGTAGAATTATTTTAATTAAAAGATATTTCAATATACATGCTGCTCAGTTTTAGCTTTACTGGTCAGAGACCAGAAAAGCTTATGCAATAGTAAGGTGTCTTTCATCCATATATCTGTAAACAATTTTTCTAAGTGCTATTCCTTTAGTTTTTGTCCAATTTCAATAAGGTTCACAAGTACACTATACTAAGATGCATAATTCTGCTTATCAGTTTTTGATTTCAACAAACGGTTTTGCCATGGTTACTAAAAATAGAAATTTCTGTGAAATTCTTTCAAAACGCTATTCCTCCTACATTTTTGGTTCAATTTCAAGAAGACTTGTTGCACAAGTACACAGATTTGTGAATAAGTTTTTGACAAACGGTGCTTTAGTGGTTACCAAAATTAAGAAATTTCTGTGGAATTCTTGCAAATCGCTACTCCTCCTTTCAGTCTTATTTTAATAAGACTTGGTACACAAGGAGACTTGACTAAGATATACAAAGTACACACCAGTAGAGCTACAGTCTCATTAGAGACTTCTAGTCTAAAGGTGTATTGTTAGATTGGTAAAGTAAAAATGCATCATAATAATTAAAAAATAATTTAAAAAAGATACAAGTTTTAACAAGTTCAGTATTTCCTAAAAATACAAGTATTTTGATAAGGAGATGAATAAGGAAGTAATTTGAATTGTCAATACTTATTTTCTCCTCTTTGAATTTCCATATTTTTAATACTTTTCAAAATCAATGATTATAACAGGTCACATGTTAGATACCTTGGCCAGAACAGCGTTATGGGAAGTGGGTTTGGATTATGCTCATGGAACGGGGCACGGAGTGGGGGCCTTCCTCAATGTTCATGAAGGTAAACATTGACACATTTGTTATTTGTCACTAAAAGCAAAAGAAACTGAGTTACATGTACTGCTTGTCAGTAAATGATTGGTTTATGCAACATTTACTCGTTTTACCACTTAATTAAAAAACTCTGATACCTGTATTACATTCAAAAATGTAATGGTGAAATTGATTATGAGCATTTTAAGGTATCATGTATGTTAAGGTGCCAGTATTTTTTTGTTTATTCTTATGTGCTTTTTATAATATATATCTGTGAAATCTTCTGTTTTAGGCCCCTGTGGAATAAGTCCTCGAGTTTCTGCCTCGGAGATTCCCCTGGAGGCTGGGATGATTCTCTCTGACGGTAAGCTCTGTGTCCGTTAATCTCCACCAGTAAACTATATAAACATGCTGAATCAACATTAACATTGCATTTATTAATGCACATTTTTTTTTATCACTATTATCTTAGTTTTTTCATTAGATCAGTTTAACTTTTGTCTGTTAAAGTGGTTAAACAGAATAATGTCAACATTTTTAAAAGTTGATTTGAAATTTGATTTAATTATTTAGAGCCTGGTTATTATGAAGATGGAAAATTTGGTGTTCGTATAGAAAACCTTGTTCTTGTTGTAAAAGCAGAGACAAAGGTATTGATTATCATGGCATCAATTAATCATTAGAATTGTTTATAATATCATGAAGAAAATAAGCATACCCTATTACATATTTTGATTTTTTTTCAGCATAATTTCAGAAACAAGGGATTCCTAACATTTGAACCTTTGACCCTTGTACCCATGCAACTGAAGATGATAGAACCATCTTTATTAACGGAGAAAGAGGTAGGATATATTACACAATATCACAGTAAAACTGATTCTTGTCTGTGTACATCTTAGCGAGTATTTTCACAATGTCAAAACTTTGTGACTATATGCCTCACATAAACAACTTCAACAAAGATGGCTCTTTTACATCCACATTTACTTTAAACAAATCTTCAGAAACGTTTATTTATTTTTTGTTATCAATATTATGTTATAATGTAAACTATAAACACTGAACTTATAGCTATCGAGTACATCCCATTGCCCATATTTATTATTGATCAATATACATGTAATTTTTGGAAAAATTGTGTTGCAATCCAAGGGTAGGTCAATGTATCCTCATTTGGAATTGTATGCAGGGTTGTACCTTACTTACTTACATGTATCCACTTATAATATGATGTTCATTCATTTTGGCCTGTTTACCCCCAATTCAGATAAATTTTTCTGCATTATTTAATTAATTAAATACATATAGCTACCCGCTGGTGTCAACCCGGGTCATTTCATGTAAATCTGATGGTGTCAACCCAGGTATCTCAAAAAATTTAAACCTGATGGTGTCAACCCAGGTTCCATTCATTAAAACCCGATGGTGTCAACCCGGGTACCCTTACTCACAACCTGATGGTGTCAACCCAGGTTTCTATGGTTACAGTGGAACAATTTCCTGATGGTGTCAACCCAGGAATTTGTTTTGACTTTATATGTGAGTAGCCCCCGAGAAGGCCAAATTTATGTGGTACATGTATAAAACAAGATGGATGTATGATTTTTATTATTATTTGTGTATAAATTTTTTAGCTTATTGAGTGATTGTGAACATTGTAATTTCATGTTTTGATTTGTGTTAATAAATGTTGAAATTTCAATTGCTCTTACTATTTGTATAAACTTATCATATATTCTGGTTATATATTTACCATTTAAGTATATGTGTTTCATGAGTTCACTATATGTATTTTGTCCAAATAAGTAGGTGTAGTCCATTTGGGTTATGCCACTATAAATACATTTCAGTATCTATCTTGTTGGTAGAGTTGAGATTCAAATTTAAAAATAGTACCACTTTCATCAAAAATTGGTTAATCAACTTGGTATGTTTTGACTTTTCCTTGACAGATAAGCTGGTTAAATGACTACCATACAATGTGTAGGGATATTGTGGGACCTGAACTTAAGAGGCAAGGAAAGAAAGAGGCATATGATTGGATGATGAGGGAGACCCAAAGCATTGGATAATACAGATTTATGGATTGGTTAGATTTGTGATCTGACTTTTATGCAATGTGAACAGATTTTTCAAATTTGGCTAAAATTATGTTGAATTAATTTATATCCAACACTGTGGTCTTAATTCATGCTCATTTTCAGCTCATTTTGTAAACTGAAATTTCAAATGACAGAGATTAAATAAGCAATATTTGTTAAAAAAATTATGTGATTCTTCTGTATAAATGCATGTTATTGCAGTGATTTCCCACAGATTTAAATTTAGAAAATGATGGTCACTAGTTGTTATGGAAAGTCCACTTAGATTTTTTTGTCAAGAGAATAACTGTCACCAACTCTTATGCCATCCCCTCACCTTGAAAACAACCCAGGGATTTTACACAGTATTTGGTGTGAAATCTTGTCAGATAATTTACTTGCTAGAGGGTACATAGAAATTACAATCCAGATGAGATGTATAATTAGAGTTATCTCTGTCATTGTTGTGTGGCACACAGCATACCGGTTCACAGAATCTAAAAGTCACACATCAATAAACTTTTGAATCTGCCTGCAAATCTTATGGATACTAGTATTTAAACAGTATTTAAATTTTACTGTTTTATTTTATGTACATATTCAGTAAATTTTATGAAAATTGGATTACTTCAAGTTCTTCTATTAAAGACTGGAAAATGTCAGTGTCTGCTTCTATTAAGGATCACTGATACTCTGATAAGAGAGATAACTCTTAATGACATAAATGTCTATTATTCCTTTATAAATTTGTCAAGTTGAAATGTCTTTTTCCTTCAATTTTGCCCTGCAGGCTATGATACAATGGTTTGTACATTTCTTTTGGAAAATCATAAAAGATAAAGCAACATTTTATATGAGTGAGTAGGGGGTTTATGAACCTTAATGGGATCCACCTCAAAATCAGAGACTCCTCCTTGGAGGTTACACTTTTTTCTTGATTTAAGCTGTATTTGAGCATTTTGCCATACGTGACAGACAGAAAAATGAACTACATGAAACTATTTGGAGGTCAGAACATTAAAGTTAAATGTAGGTCTTTGATACGCTACATAAGCTTTTGTCTTAAGCCAAATGAGTTACTCATAGATTTTGATGTAATCTTTGGATAAAAAAAAAACAATACACAAAATTAAGCAGTATCTCTCAACAAGTTTAATATGTACATCTCTCAAAAAGTGACACAAACAACACAATACTACTTGCGTAACAGCGAATATTTCACAGCTCTTGCAATGTCCTAAATTTAACTGAGCTGGGTCAATACATCAGTAAATGCAGGGACGTATATACTATTAGTATATAGGTGTCCCTGGTAAATGGGACTCGTGCGGGGAGGGGGGGGGGGGGTATGATGAAGAAAAGGGAACACATAAATTACTGGAATGAAAGAATGATTTGTGATAACGAGTTGAATCACCAATAGGCAGCAACCATGCGTGCTGTAATTTTTTTCTGTAGCATCTAAGTCTTTAAAATTCTGTATATCGTATGTAATGTTAATCCGCCACACTCTGAAGCAGAAGCACCAAACGAAAGTCCTTGTCACCGCGTGGTGTAACGTCATCAGTCCATGATGGAGCGAGAATTGGCGGGTAGTCCTTGCTGTTGCCGCCAACACGCCAAACGGTGCTGATACCACAACTAAAGGGGAAAATTAAAAGCATTAAAATGTGTGTGTTTTTATTCTTTCAGTTTTACAAGGGAAAAAACCCCATAAAATTGGTTTAATTTACTTCGCTTTCAAAATGCATTTAAGGAAATTCTTTAACTTCTGCAAACACTTTTAAAATCAGACGATACGTTGTTCAATAATGAATAATTCTTTCCAAGAATTTGTGATTGAAGTATTGCTAATTTAAAAGGTTTCCTCACCAAAACTTTAGGTACAATACCAGGCATTTATGCAAGATTACAGAGGACGATGTTTCCTTTATGATACTACTGAAAATCCCTTGAATTGCCGATATCACAATTGTTTGATTTTGTTGTTGTTGTTGTTGTTGTTGTTGTTTTGTTTTTTTTTTTTTGTTAAGCCATATTTTGATTCATTTTGAAAACAATTTAGAAATCATCTGATGATGACTAATAATATAAATATTTTTGTTTGGTATATTTCGAAGAGATGTAAAATCGGATAGTCGAGAAACGTGTCGTCAGATCTTAAAAAAGTTTTTTGTTTGTTTGTTTTTTAATAATTAGAGTTTCTTTTCCCAGAGAGGTTCGTGTATAAATAAATTAAACGATGGAAAAGGGTATTGTTATGGTGTGACACGTCAATGACACTATTCGTGAAATGTTAATTCTGTCAATTTTATCGACAATCAGCTTGTTTGTTCTATAAACATTAAGATGATCAGATGTCGGTGTTCATTTCAGTTAACATTTAGTGGCCCATCAATCCGTGTCATTTTACCCTAAACCATCGAACGCATGTTATTTACGGGTGATTTGTGTGAATTTAAACAGGAAAGGGGCGGGAAATGTGTTGTACGTTTAGTATGTAAAATTTTACCTCTCCAACTTCATGTTACTAGAGACAGAAATAAAAGCACGGATAACTTTCAAATTTTAATACTTATTCTTGTAACCAACCCCAACCCCAAACTCCTTGTATAGGTGATTTTTAGATTTTTGAATTGTAAAGCTCTCATGTAATTTTTATACAAGAATAAAGTATGGCCAGAAGAGTGATTAACCACTTCGTGAAATAACACGTGCTCGTTTGTTGAAAAGAAAAATTAATTCCGTTTTAGAAAAAGGACAATTTCGGGGTTTTTTTCCGTGTGCGAAAGAAATATTTCTTCCCGGTGTTTTGTGTGGCAATTAATACGAAATCATTATGAAAAAAAACCGGATTATTATTTCACAGGGAAGTGTTAAACTACAGCATCACATCTCTCTGGTATAGCCCAGTGAACTTGAAATAAAAGATACCACAGAGTCTGACACATCCGTTTCATATTATTTTGATATTTTACTAGAAAAAGACGTTAATGTTAACCTAACAACAAAACTTTATGATAAACGTGATGACTTTAACTAGTCTATCGTCAACTTCCCATACTTATGTAGCAATATACCCTTTATCACCTGTATATGGATTTATACCTCCCAGTTGATTTAATACGCAAGAACAATTTCTAAATGAGGCAAGCTATTGACAAACAAGTTGATGAAACAAGGATATCAACATTCTCGTTTAAAGTCATCATTTCGCAAGTTCTATGGTCGATACAATGACCTTGTCAGCAAATACAATTTATCATGAAGTCGAATGCTGACGGACGTTTTCCATACCAATTGTTAGGCCATTATTTAAACACTGAATTGTCTACGGATTTTTCCGTTTGCCCGATCATGACAATGAGCACACGGCGGATGTGACCGGTCGACAGGGGATGCCTATTTCTCCATGGCACCTGATCCCACCTCTGATGTTTATTTAGAAGTCCATGTTTGCTATGCTCCCGATTTGTATTGTTTCAATGAACTTTTGAATTTGAGTATCACCATATTTCAAGGTAAAAAAGACAGAAAAATTGTCCATTTATTTAATACTAATCAAGTTGTTCCTTTGTGACAAAATTATTTATCGGGCCTTTGACATATTCTCTATTTCTGAGAAACGAGAAATAAATGAATTATCCACATTTTTTAAATACAACAATGGTTCAAATTGTGATATACATGTATTTAATTTGTCAGTGGGCATATTTTTGTACTTAGCAAAGCCACGTATCGCAAGACTGAAGCAGAATAGAAACTGTGTGTGAAACCGAGCTTTATATAGACTTTAACAATAAACTTATCGGAACTAGGCTTTGATCAACGTTTGTAGATAAAACCACGGTTTTCAATGCATTCATTTACTTTGTGTTATAAAGAAATTTTTAGCATTATGGTGTAAGTCAATTATATATTAACAAGCCGTGTGAGGTCAGTGGTTGTGATTTGGTAGCTAGCCAGTTGTACCTGTACTTGCACACATACAGAATGTTGTAGTATAGAACGAATGTCACGGTCAATATATATCAAATACTGATGGCAAAGTCAATACCTATATTGAGAGACAACTTATATATAGACCTCCAGACGGTATAAATAGAATATAACACGCCCAACGTACACAAAGATAGTGTATGTAGAACTTACGTATTAGTCTTTTTATCTATTTTTTTTATTTGTCAATTTCAAAGTTCTTATCAGTGCAGAGTTCAATATGTGAACCTCAGTAATATTTGTGTAAGCACATGAGAGATTTATTGCGTAACGATATTGGCAGTACGTGGTTCACATGGTATACAAGTACTATATATATAATTGATAGGTATATTATATTTGTCATCTATCAATGTAAAACCAAAATACAGCTACTTATAGGACACTGGGTACTTAAGTGGACTACCAAACACGTGTTTATAGATTACGTATGTTTATTATATAGATTAATTAAACAAGGACAACTATTTTTTCAGGTCGTCTATCCCAAAAAGTCGGAAAAGACGCCATAATTACTGTGATGCCTAATGATAGATAAACGTGTGACATGTATTGCATATTTAGACTTCGTAAGTTTGACAAATCAATATTGTCAGCTCTATCAGACGATGAGTCATGAAAGAAATTAAAAAAATTGTCATTTATAAATTAAGGTTACCTTGACGTTTTCTTCGGAAAGTCCCGCTTCTGCCGCTATGAGTGTAAGGTCCAGGTCTGTAGGGTTCCGATTACTACGGAAGTTGGATTGAAGAACTTTCTCTTGGTCCTCCTTAATACTCGGCAGTCGGGTGGAGGGGGTCAGTTGCGCTTGAATATTGCAGTTATTCACCGACATGTTTCTTAGATCCACCACATTCGACGAAAATAATCCTCGGATCTTGTCCAATAGGTCTATACCGGCTTAAATATTAATCCTTTTAATTATTTGCTTTGTAGCATTTATATGTAACTAAATACACCGCCTTTCAAATCCGCCACATCCCTCAAATTAACACGATTTGATCTTTAATTAATCTGTTAATGTCCGTAATGTCTACATGACAATAATATAAGTACATATATATATATAAGTAAATATATATAGATCTGAAAGTCTTTCGTCAGGTGCCTGCTGATGTCGCTTCGCTAATGTACTCTTGTACGGTGTATTTCCTCGTTAACTGCTGGGTAATCCGCTTTATAAATCGTGTCCCCGCTATTTCTGTACTAGAGGGGATAAGCTCGCGGCGAGATTCCCTGTTCTGAGGCTATTTCAAGTTCCCCAGGCTAAATTCCTTGCTATTTGCTAATCCAAGGCAGTATTTGTCATCGGTGTTTATAAAACTTTTCCTTAAGTAAATATTTCCTTCGCAATCAATTGAGCGGCTTGAATACACGGCCTCCGCGCTCCTGTCGTATCGACTCCTCCAGTGATGGCTTTACTTGTCGATCTATCGATCTGACGGTCGGGTACAAGGAAACCAGACAAGATGTCGAAATATTTAACAATTAACCCCGTCTTTTAGCGCGGTTAATTGGGGTGTTCTTTTATTGTTCTTTGTATCACATGGCGGATCTAATCTATACAGTTAAAGATATACATCGAGCATTATTTCTCAATGCATCAAAGCAGCTATGATTTTTTTTTTAATTAAGCGATTGCTGTGTATGTGTCAATTTGGGAATAATTTATTTCTGAGGCGGCGTGGAAGAGTTCACGTTCTGTCAAAAGACTTCGGCGAAGGACACACAGGAGGGAGGCCTCTTCTCATGTTAATGTGAATGTTTGATTGTGACTTTGATGTGACAGACGATAAAATTTAAATAATACTTCCTGAACCCGAATCGCACTTTTTAAATATTTGAGAAGTTAGATAAAGAGTGCAGAGAGAGAGGAGGGAAGGGACGGATGCATAATTGATTGATTTTAAATTGCTCTTGCTATTTACGTCGATGTTCAGCAGTTCATTGTGCAAAGATGCCTTGTCGATAAAAAAAAATAATAATCTGTTGATCTTACAAAAACTCTGATTTAGATATACAGATTACGCATTTCTGCTTGACTTACTTTGAAAACAGGTTGTTTGACAGCGTTTAAACAATGTTGACATTTGCGCGGGAAAACTTTTTCGGTGTTTCCCCCCAGTTATTCTACGTCACTTACTTCTACATATTAGGCAATAAAAACTATACCTTTTATTTGCTAATTTTATGGCGCAGTACATGCAAGAACAGCTCTTATGTCCTGAAATGCTCTAAGAAAGTATTGATTTTATTTGTTGTTTAACGTCCCTCTCAAGAATTTTTCACTCATGTGGAGACGCCACGACTATTGATTTTAAGACAGCTTTTAAAAAGCTTTTTAAACTCATATGATGATGCAATTATATATTTATATTTTCCCGATCATAATTCTACGGGGATCATTAGTCGTCGTTACACCAAGTTTCAACCAATGAGAGTGCGACATTTCAGTCCACTGGAAAAGGATTTGCATTTTTTTTTTATCTATACATAATTTTGTTCATAAAAAGTGAATGAGATTGGGCAGCAGGCAAATCCTATTTTAGCACCCCCCCCCCACCTCCAACAAGGTCAAAGTAAATACACACTATATAGGTATAATCCAATCCTCTGCCACCCTCAAAAAGGATTTTAAAAATACCACTATTACCTTGAAAAGGATTAATGCCACAACCAAAATCAATAGGAACAATACTACTACCAAATCAATAGGAACAATACCACAACCAAATCAATAGGATCAATACCACAACCAAATCAAAAGGATCAATGCCACTACCAAATCAATAGGATCAATACAACTGCCAAATCAATAGGATCAATACCACTGCCAAATCAATAGGATCAATACCACTGCCAAATCAATAGGATCAATACCACTGCCAAATCAATAGGATCAATACCACTACCAAATCAATATATAGGATCAATACCACAACCAAATCAAAAGGATCAATACCACTACCAAATCAATATATAGGATCAATACCACAACCATATCAATTGGATCAATACCACTACCAAATCAATAGGATCAATATCACTACCAAATCAATAGGATCAATACCACAACCAAATCAAAAGGATCAATACCACTGCCAAATCAATAGGATCAATACCACAACCAAATCAATAGATTCAATACCACTACCAAATCAATAAGATCAATACCACCACCAAATCAAAAGGATCAATACTACTGCCAAATCAATAGGATCAATACCACAACCAAATCAATAGATTCAATATCACTACCAAATCAATAAGATCAATACCACCACCAAATCAAAAGGATCAATACCACTGCCAAATCAATAGGATCAATACCACAACCAAATCAAAAGGATCAATACCACTACCAAATCAGTAGGATCAATACTACTACCAAATCAATAGGATCAATACCATTACCACATCAATAGGATCAATACCACAACCAAATCAATAGGATCAATACCACTACCAAATCAATAGGATCAATACCACAACCAAATCAATAGGATCAATACCACTACCAAATCAATAGGATCAATACCACTACCAAATCAATAGGATCAATACCACAACCAAATCAATAGGATCAATACCACTACAAAATCAATAGGATCAAAACCACAACCAAATCAATAGGATCAATACCACTACCAAATCAATAGGATCAATACCATTACCACATCAATAGGATCAATACCACAACCAAATCAATAGGATCAATACCACTACAAAGTCAATAGGATCAATACCACAACCAAATCAATAGGATCAATACCACTACCAAATCAATAGGATCAATACCACTACCAAATCAATAGAATCAATACCACTACCAAATCAATAGGATCAATACCACTACCAAATCAATAGGAACAATACTACTACCAAATCAATAGGAACAATACTACTACCAAATCAATAGGAACAATACCACAACCAAATCAATAGGATCAATACCACTACCAAATCAATAGGATCAATACCACTACCAAATCAATAGGATCAATACCACAACCAAATCAATAGGATCAATACCACTACCAAATCAATAGGATCAATACCACTACCAAATCAATAGGATCAATACCACAACCAAATCAATAGGATCAATACCACTACAAAATCAATAGGATCAAAACCACAACCAAATCAATAGGATCAATACCACTACCAAATCAATAGGATCAATACCATTACCACATCAATAGGATCAATACCACAACCAAATCAATAGGATCAATACCACTACAAAGTCAATAGGATCAATACCACAACCAAATCAATAGGATCAATACCACTACCAAATCAATAGGATCAATACCACTACCAAATCAATAGAATCAATACCACTACCAAATCAATAGGATCAATACCACTACCAAATCAATAGGAACAATACTACTACCAAATCAATAGGAACAATACTACTACCAAATCAATAGGAACAATACCACAACCAAATCAATAGGATCAATACCACTACCAAATCAATAGGATCAATACCACTACCAAATCAATAGGATCAATACCACTGCCAAATCAATAGGATCAATACCACTGCCAAATCAATAGGATCAATACCACTGCCAAATCAATAGGATCAATACCACTGCCAAATCAATAGGATCAATACCACTACCAAATCAATATATAGGATCAATACCACAACCAAATCAAAAGGATCAATACCACTACCAAATCAATATATAGGATCAATACCACAACCATATCAATAGGATCAATACCACTACAAAATCAATAGAATCAATACCACAACCGAATCAATAGGATCAATACCACTACCTAATCAATAGGATCAATACCACTACCAAATCAATAGAATCAATACACTAAACCTGAAATTAAAAATTTTCTAACAGCACATTCAAAAGGATAAATCTGCCCACTGCAATATTCAAAAGGTGTTTATTTTGTTTGTTTGTTTGTTTGTTTTTACTTTTAAACCATACAATGGGATATGAGGTACAAAAACGTATTTACATATCTACGAAATACAAAGTCAAGTAAGGAAGAGTATTACAAAATAACATGTAGTATTACTAAAAACAGGCCAATATTTAAACAAATAAATCATACTGCCACCCTCAAATGGATTAAAATATCTACTGCCATTTCTCAAAAAGATCAGTCAATATCTTCTACCAAACCCAAAAGGATTCGTTAATCCACATACTGCCAGCTGCAAAACAAAGGGTCAAACCACACACTACCAATATTAAAAGGACCAATCTACCCACAACCAGATCAAACTAATGCCCTGTTCACACGGAGAGTTTAATTCGAATTAAACGTAAGTTACTGCGAATTAAATTTGATCCGTGTTCACACGGAGAATTTAATGCGAATTAGTTTAATTCGAATTAGTTTACTGCGCATTAAATTACTTCACATTAGCTCCGTGTGAACGCTAAGTGAAGCTAATTCGAATTAAATTTTGACGCATGCGTAGGGGCAGAATTAAGTCACATGCCACATGTCGGTGGTTAAATATAGGTATTTGTGCTATTTTGAGTGGAAAACAAAAGAAAACTATGTTAATCACTAAAAACTGTACAGACACTATGAAATTATGTCAAATGTATATCTGCTTTGCACAGTGTGACGTGATTTGCAAATGACGTCATAATAGCCTTACTGAATAGCCTTATAGTAGAAATAAAATTTTAATTCGCATTAGTTTACTTCGCATTAGCTGTCGTGTGAATGCAATTTAATTCGCATTAGTTTAATTCGCATTAATTTACTGCGAATTAAACTCTCCGTGTGAACAGGGCATAATTCAGAAGCATCCTACTGAAGAGTTGATTCAAACTGGAGGAGTCAATGTGTGGCCATAAGACTTGGACACACATTATTTTATCTACAAGGGTATTTAATTCAATAATTTCCGTTTGAAGGACCGGTCCCTTCATATGAAGAAATTTGAATCCTCCTTTCCACTTTGCCAAGTTGCTTGCAAATGGTTCAGGGGCTCTGGAGAAGAGGGTAAAAATATGAAATGATAAAAGACAGACACAAATAGACAGATGGCTAATAGTACAGGAGCTAAAATGACATTTTTTTATACACAAAGGTAGATATTTTGGCATATGATACAGATACACTGTATTTATATTACAAAAATGTAGCTCAAACAAACAAAAGAATTTAATACTTGCAAAAGCATTATTACTTTTTTTCTTACTGAAATGATTCTATTGGTTTTAGAACAATAGTACCTGCACATCTTTTAGTGTACAGACAACAACAAAGTTATGTATTCAGTATTTTATTTTCAACAAATTGTAATAAGTAATTACAGAACAAAAAAAAAACTTAATTATTGACATTTAACCTGTGTATTAGATACCATGCAAGTCCAGCAGAAAGTCATTTAGAGCAGAGAATTAAGGTATCCTAGGAAAATGTTTTTCCCATTGTGGCTTTGTTTCATAAATCCCACACAGTGATTCTTTAATTTTGCTGACAGAGAACCCCTAGCGCACATTTGATTGACCACGATCCACAAAATGGTAATGTACACACACTTGGAAGAAATTCTGTACATGTATTGCAAAAGGAAAAAAGGTTCCACAATATGTGCTGAGTTTTATGTTGCAGGTTTTCTCTCATTCTTGATTTTTTTTGATTGTCAAAAGTCACTCAGCAAGACTGACTAACTCACACAAGTTACAGAACCTATATATATGTCCAGTCATGAATTTTACATAGTACATGTATAACTATTAAAGCAGCTCTGATAAAAATTTAAGTATTTGTGTGCAGGGGAGAAATCTTTGACAACAAATCTGACATCTTTAGAGGAACAGAGATTTTTTTACATAGGGAAATACATTGTACATGTATCTTAATATCTGAATTTTGAAAACAAAAGATACAAAAATTAAAAAAAAAATTGCACATAAATTGTTTAAAAAAAATCATGAGGATTAACAGACAAAATAATCAGCAGTGAAAGTTCAAGGTTTCAACTCCGATTGATGTATCAATCAAATTCTCAATGAGTAGAAGGAACTCAGTTTTTGATCCACTTGTAGGGAGGCCTCAGTTTTCGTAGTACATCACTGTCATAAAATCTAACATTAAAAATTAAGCAGATGTCCTCATTTTGTAATAGCTAGTCAGGAAAAAATAAATAATTCTGCACAGTGTCAGGAAGAATCAAGAAAAAATAAATAATTTGCACAGTGTTAAAAAGAATCAAGAAAAAATAAACAATTTGCACAGTGTTAAAAATGCAGTAAAATGTAAAGCAAACTGTTTTCATGCATTTGAATTGATACAGTGCCTGTAAACAATGAATGATTATGTTTTGCAATGTATGTCAAATTATGATAATGCAATAATGTGTGCATACAAATCAAAAAAGTGTGTTAGCAAGTACTAATATTAGTTATTGAAATGAACATTTCAAAATTATCATTTCCTTCAAATGATTAAGATATTTTTTAAATTTCCTTCAAATGATTAAGATATTTTTTAAAGTTTTTTCTTTGAATTTTCTTGCTTGAAATGATCTCAATGATTTGATTCACTTCAACCCATTTTTGATGCACACATTCCTGATTTTGATTTGTGTACCTTACACAGTTATCTCTCTTTGGAGGCATGAAACAGACTATGAAGTATATACGTGTATCAATGAAACAGACTATGAAGTTTATGTTTATCAATGAAGCAAACTATGAATTCTACGGTCCATTGTCCGTTTCTCCATTTTTGATATTTGTGGTGGACTTGGTGACCCCACTAATGACACAGGCTTGGGTGAACCATAATGAGTGGGTGTAATGGAAGTCAGTCTGACACTGACATCACTGCGAGCCGATCCTGGAGATATGGACGATAACCTTGACCTATGACCTGATGGAATGGAGCCTTGTGAGATAGACGATAGCCTTGACCTTTGACCAGAAGACACAGACAGGAAGTCAATGTGATCCATGCCCCCTTGTGTAGAGGAAGCTTGGGAGCTTCCTGAAAGACGACGTTCGTATGGGTCTCTTTGAATTGGCTGAACCTGTAACCATGGAGATGTGGCCTGATGAGGTGACTTTGTCTCTGATTTAAGTTGTCTGTGAAGGTGCTCTTGTGAAAGCTGTGGCACAGCAACTGACACTCCACTGAAAAAATAGGAGTATTCATATGTGTATGAGATCTCTAGAAAAGTTGATGTAGTGATTTAATTTGCAGAAAATTTATTTAAGTATAAAACAGGTGCATATTTGTGAAAAAATATACTTTTCTCCTGTTATATGTGTAAAAACAAAGCATACAACAGGAGAGGTTGATACTGACCTGTCGATTCGTCTGTATCCAGAATAAGGAGGAGAAGCATTTGGGGACGATACATCCTCTTCATCGTACAATATTTCAGGGGTCTGTACTATTGGAACTGGATGAGGGCCTGAAAATAAATACCAAGTTAATGTGATGTATTGTGATATATTATACGCTTATCCACTGGGTGTGAGTGGGATCTGAGCTGTTTTCAAACTCTTAACAGTTGTTTTTTTTGGCACTCACCAGGAGACTTGATCTGAGGCACTCGAAGAGGAGCTAGTTCCCTAGAGGATTTGTGAGGTGGAGGTGTTTTGGGGAGGTCCTGAGGGATTGGGGAGGGGGGTAGAGGTGACATCCTTGGACTCATCACAGGAGGAAGCAGGTTACTGGTTCCCATGCCAACACCAATATTCTGGTTGTCAAGGCGATTCTTGTCCTTGAGACCACTCCCAATGTGGAGGTCATAGTTTTCTTCAAATGTTGTTGTTGCTGAGGTCTGCAATATAAACAAAATATAATTATTTTAAAATCCAATTTTACATTCTTTTACCTTTTCTACCTGACCAATGAATCTTGAGAAATATAGGGGAAAATAACAACAACTTCAAAATTGACATAGAACATTACATCATCCATATTTATATTAATTTAGACAAAGATGAAGGCATAGTTTTTAAAGTGAGCTAGGAGATAAGACAAGGAGTTAGACGTATTTCAATACTCCTCCTCTCCATACAGAAACATGTTACATCTAAATGGAAGATTGACAAAAAAAAGTAACAACAGAGTTGATAAATATTAGGAAGAATAACTCTGTTACCTGTCTGTGTGAGCGTTTCTGTAAAAACAAACATTGTAAAACAGGTTGAGTTAGAGCAGAGCTATTTAGTTTGAAAGTTTCAAGTTTAGAATATTACACCAACAGAACATTTACAAAATAGTTAACAGTATTAATTCTCAGTTATTTGAAACAACAGAAAGCTTGTCTATTGTCAACAAGGAAAATTGGACTATTCTTAAATATATATTAGAATGTATGATCTTAATTATTAGAATCTATGAGCAGAGCAGAGCATCATGGGGGTGAAATTTCTTTATATACTGTAGAAGCACAAATTTTCGTGGGGATAAAATTCGTTGAAGTTTCATGGGCATTTAATTTTGTTGTTTCAAAAGTAACCCTATTCAATATACAGTCACATAAAAATTTCGTATGGGATTTAATTTCATTGATATTGTTTTAAACAACAAAATATAAAACGAAATTTAATCTCCAACGAATATTTCTGCTTTTACGGTATGTTAGTATTTCAGAACAGATCATGTAATAATGCACTGTCACCAGATGATATTTTAGTAATAATAATTAAAAACATCATTCTGGAAGAATGGTCAGATTTAACACTACTAGTATTAATCTCAAAGATTCTAAACCACATTCCCAAAGGGAAACAAATGCGATGACAGAGATGACCTCTGACCTTTTTTTGTCGCCTTGACCTGCTTTTCCTCTGTTTCAGCAATCCTTGGTCATCCTCTGCCTCATCAAATGTTGATAGGACAATTTTTGGCACTATGACACTAGTGGGGGTCACGGGTGATTTTATCTGGTTATCCAGGCTCTGCGACTTTGATGTGGGTCGAGATTCCTCTCTCCTGGCCAGTTCTTTCAGAGATCGCTCCGAGTTTGACATGGAGGTGGTTACGGATTGCTTGTCAAATGACCTCATTTCTATAGAGTCACTAGTAGCATCCGAGGTGGGGGTGGAGGAAATTTTCTTGTTTCTGGGTCGGAAGAGGTCTTTGAGTTTCCCAAATGGATTCCGATTGGAGTCAGACTTTTTGACTTTGGATCGTCTGTTTACAACATGACTGCCCTTGATTCCCATCTTCTCCTCCAATAGCCTTACACATTCTATCACCATGTGAAAAAGAGTTTTCATTATAAAAGTACAAATTGAAAAAAAAAATTAATTTAATGAAGCAAGTGATAAATCATCTGAAGGAGAAGTAATTCTGAAATACCTGTTAGAAAAATGTCTGAAACCAATTGCCTGATATTCCTGTAACTGTTATATAATGATATTTTCCAAGTCACAATAAATTTGATTTTTTTATGCCCTCATAATCAAAGATTCGGGGGCATATAGTTTTTGCCTTGTCCGTCCGTCTGTCTGTCTGTCTGTTTGACAGCAAAAACTTTAACCTTGCCCGTAACTTTTGATTGGTTGAAGCTATGGCTTTCATATTTCAGATGTGTATTTTGTGTGACAAGTTCTTTCTTTGGGTACCATCATATTTGACCTGTTGACCTTGACCTGGAGTTTGACCTACTTTTGCAAACTTTTTTGAGACTTTAACCTTGATCATAACTTTTGAACTGTTGGAGCTTGGGCTTTCAAACTTCACATGTGTATTCCTTATGACTAGACCTTTCTTTGGATACCAACATCTTTGACCCTATGATCTTGACCTTGGAGTTTGACCTACTGTTGAAAAAACTTTAACCTTACTTTGTGCTAGGTCTTTCACACTTTGCATGTGTACTCCTTGTGACAAGACCTTTCTTTGGATACCAACAACTTTGACCTTTTGACCTTGACCTTGGAGTTTGACCTACTTCAATTTTGAAAAATTTTAACTTTGGCCATAACTTTTGAACAGTTAGTGCTAGAGCTTTCATACTTCACATATGCCTACCTTGTGACAAGACCTTCCTTTAGATACCATCAACTTTGACCCTTTGACCTTGAGCTTGGAGTTTGACCTACTTTTGAAAAACCTTAATCTTGGCCAAAACCTTTGAACAGTTGGTGTTAGGGCTTTCATACTTCACATGTATATTCCTGTGACAAGACCTTTCTTTGGATACTAACAATATTGGTATTGACCTTGACCTTGGAGTTTGACCTATTTTTTTTTAAATTAAACCTTGGCCATTACATTTGAATGTTTGGTTCTAGGGCTTTCTTATATCACTTGTGACAAGACCTTCCCTTGGGCCCCATTTGACCTTGCCATTTTACTTACTTTGAGAAAAACCTTAACCTTCGCCATAACTTTTCAGTGGTTTGTACTATGGCTTTCATATTTCACAGGTATATTCCTCGAGACAAGACCTTTCTTTGGGTACCAACATTTTTGATTTCTTGACCTGGAGTTTGACTTGCATTTGAGAAACTTAACCCTTTGCTATAAGCTGCCATACGGGGGCATCAGTGTTTCACAAACACATCTTGTTTCCTTTTGTAATGGACATTCTATCTTCTAAAGTATGCAGTTAATTGATTCTTTACTGATGTATTTAAAATGTTACTCTTCAGCCAAAATAAGGGACCAGTTACAGTTGCTTAGTGATTAGGGCACCTGCTTTGAGACCGGATGGCCCTGGTTTGATTCTGAATCCCAGCACCGCAACCTAGCCATAAGTGTGATGCATAAATCAAAAGAACAAGGTTCACTTAGGGCCTTTTTTGGCCCTGTGAATTTCTGAAAACTCAAAACTGCTTAGTTTAAGGTGAAAATGCATTAAATTTTACTTGAACCCTTGGTGACTGCATATCTTTTAAAACTTATGTAATTTTCTCGCTAGTCCATGTATTATGACGTCATGAATTGTGTCATTATCCTCAAATCCTGAAAATTTCTTCAAAAATGGCCAAAATTTTAAGCTGTTTTTCAACCTCTGATCCAAAATGTCCAGTTACATAATGAAAGAACTGTTTCAGAAGATTATAATCCGTGTCTTATTTTGTAGATCGAGGGGTGGGGGCATATATTTTAATTCTTTCCTGAAGGTACTCAAATACACCAATTTTCTTCAAAACTCAAGAATATTGCAATTTCACAAAACCTGTTTTTCAATACCTGGACTCTCAGAGGAAACTTTTTTTATAAGAAATGAAAGTACTAAGTCACTACTTTATATTGATGTATAAAATGGGACATTGGGACCTGGTCGGTTAATTGGTGTGTGGGCAGGGCCATTTTATGGATAAAGTGAACCTAGCTCTTTGTGGCATTTTTTTACCTTAAGCTGGTATTTTATCACTATGAGTGAAAATCCTCAAGTGGGACATAAAAAGAAGAAAGCATAAATATTTTAATTAGATTTTTGTCACATTTTTAAATTTCTATTTTAGTCATTGTGCAGTTGACTCCACTAAATGAGCATTGATCGAGTGCTGATATAATATCTGCATTATCAATCATTGATATTTCACAATTATAGATGTTTGTTCTGAATGCTCTGATTACCTGCCTTTAATGTTTTTACTTTGATCACAATCCATCAAGATTTATTGTTAATTACTTGATGCACTTTCCAGGCTTTACAGAGACTTTTTTTACAAGATTTTTTAAGCCATTATCAATTATACACAAATTCATTATTACTGTGTTAACTGCAGCGTAAACTCCAATTTCCATAAATAATTTCTCGGACTGTCATTTTCATTAACACAAAAGAAATATACCTTACCGCATGTTTGATTACACTGTATACAAACAAGCATATACATGTATAAACAAAGTGGAGGTGATATTGAATGACAGACACAAATCTCTGCAAGGATCTCCCTTTATGGTTTTCTTGTCGTATTTATACATGTATATCCACAAATTTTTAAAGTTTATTAGTGTGTAGATAAATATCAAATCCCAATTATAGTCAATCTTATTTAAATCAAATTAAGTCAGGTGAACTTTAAATATTTTTTAAAACTTTGATTTAAATTCAGATAGATTGCTTCACTATCTTTTTTCCTCTCTTTTCAAAAAGGGACAGGGGCTTGGGGAGGGGGGGGGGGGGTTGAGGGCATAAAAGAGATGTTCAAATTTTGCTTTAAAAGAAGTTGAACTATTCATGGCAGTCTTTCATTTTGATCAATAAGGATACCACTTACATATTATATCAGGGTTTTCTCATATATGTCTGTGTCCTGTATTTCAGAGATAACCAATTTAATTATTAGCTTTACAAATCACCTATCCACAAGTAAATGAATCACCTTTGTGACCTGTCTTCCTGGCGTAGTCTAGTGGGGTCCCTCCTTCAATGTCTGTGGGGTTGGGTGTGACCCCCATATTCAGCAGTACATTGACACATTGATGGTGACCCATAGCTGCAGCCCAGTGAAGTGGTGTCCTAGAAAAGTTTTAAAATCACTGCTGTAAACAACAATATTTATGTGTGTTGTTGATTAAGTGTATGCATGGGGGTTATTTCCCCAGTATCAGAATTATGTATCATCAAATCTGAAAAAAAAACATGGATAAAAGTGTCGCTAAGCAGGGGATATTCGCACAAAATCTATTTCATCACATATCTAGCATAAATACCCCACACAATAAATTAAATTTTCCCATTTACAGTATTAATTGTTATAAATATATCTTGTTGGGATTGGATTTTTATTTTTGAATTTTATATTCTACTGCACTTTTATTCTCTCTCTTGCTCTGTGTTCACTTTTATTCTTTCTCTTGCTCTGTGTTCACTTTTATTCTCTCTCTTGCTCTGTGTTCACTTTTATTTTTTCTCTTGCTCTGTGTTCACTTTTATTCTCTCTCTTGTTCTGTGTTCACTTTTATTCTCTCTCTTGCTCTGTGTTCACTTTCACCTATCATCAGGATCCTCAGCTTCCAGATCAGCCCCCTCAACACTGACCAGTTCCCGTAGCAACAGGTAGTGACCGGCTGCTGCAGCATAGTGTATGGCATTCTTACTACTGTGGTCCAGCTGATTGACAAGTTTAGGTCCCTTACAGCATTGCAGCAGGAGATGGCAACACTCTACACTACCTTTCTGTTAAAGGAATTGAAAACTTGATTATATATTAACTACATGTACAGTCAAACTTTGTTATTTCTTATTTACATAACTCAATATGACCCGGAGAAAAAAATTGAGATTCATTAAGGTACATGTACATGTATTGAGGTTAAAATACATAACAAAAAATTGGTTGGGACCTCCCACTCACTTTGACATATGCAATCAAGACATTGATGTTTGAGATATACCAAAGTTTAACTATATTCAATTTAATTGTCTCACTAATTAAGTCTTTGAATCATGTATATCACATTTCACCTACAGTTTCAAAGGATGTTTACTTAGTGTTGTAGTAAAGTTGAGCCTGATCAAACTCTTATAGATTTAAAGAGGTTTATGATCAATTGCTGATATATCTTATATTATATCAGGTTTTTTAATCATTTGAAGTTCTTTTGATGTTGAGGACAATATTTGATTTACCTCAGCAGCTCAGTGCAGTATCTTTGTTGTATAGCATTTAAACTGACATGTGCCGCAGCCCAATAAAGTACCGGTAATGATTTTGTAGTTTAGGGTTAATGAAACTCAGTCTTTTCAATGAGTGACAGTGCTCTAGCTGTCTTTATGCTTAGTATTTACCTCGGCAGCCCAGTGTAGAGGTGTTTTTCCATCTATATCCTGACAATGCATGACTGCCCCACTCATCAGTAATAGTTGTAGGTGTTCTGGTCTGTTATGGAAGGCAGCCCAATGGAGAGCAGTCATTTTCTACAAAGTGATTAAACTCATCACTAACTGATTAGAATAAAACACTCTATAATCTTCAGAAAAGGACAAAGCTCACTGTCTAATCAGAAAAGAATATGACAAATTCAGCCGCTCTTAGAAAAAGACCTTCCCTTTTGTCCTCAAGACAAGACATGCTTTGTTTTACTCCAGGTAGGAAAAACATTGATGTTCTAAAAATCAGACATACCTTGTCAAAATAAGAACATCTTATGGTAATCAGCTCAGAATATTTACAAGTCTCATTGTTCTCCAAATAAGACAATTAAACGTCAATAAACACCATGGACCACAAAATGAAACAAATATTGTGATTCTCAGAATAATATAAAACCTCAACGTCCTTACAATAGGACTAACATCATTATCCTCAGAATAGGACAAATCTTGTCCACAGAATATATTTTTTTCTTCAGAATAAGTCAAACCTCATGGTTTACAAAATAGGACAAACCTCATGGTCCTTAGAGTATTAGTTTAACCTCATGGTTCACGGAATTATGAAGACAAACCCCATTGTCCTCAAAATTAGACACATCTCATGATTGACTGAAAATAAGGCAAACCTGATGAACTCCTCAGAATATTAAAAACCTCATTGTCCCCAGAATAAGATAAACCTTGTGGACAATCCTTATTATTCTCAATTTGTGGTCCTCAGAGTAAGAATGTACCTTACTGTCCCCAGAAAATGAGAATTCTCATTAACATTAGAGTACTACAAACCTCATTGTCTTCTCTGGCTACTTCTTCTTTAGATAAAGTCTGCAGTAAAGCACCAATTATTCTGCAACAATATGATAATAATGAATCAATCTCTAAAACAAAGTACATGTATATACCATATAATGAGTTATGAATGAATAAATTCCAGTGATTTTCCAGGTTCTTGGAATCAACCATATTTACAGAAATATCTTCAGTATAATCATTTGAATAGAAAAAGCAAATATTTTAGGTACAGAGTGTAAAATGTTACCTAAATTGGAGGATCTATTTGTTTGACTATTCTAGAATGAGTTTGAAAGATCTATGACTATGTCTGACCACTGTGATAGATATGTTGCTATACCCAACTAATGCAATAGATGCATGACTATTCTAGACTGAATTTGATAGATCTAAGACTACTGTAGATTCCTTAATTTTTGCGAGTACTTATTATCGCGAAATGACTCTTTAACGTTAAATTGCGAGAACAATAATTCGCGAGTGGACGGTTAATCGAGTGATTTTACATTGATTTCAGCACCATAAAAATAAAAGCGAGTAATTTTACTTCGGGAGTGGTGCTTCTCGTGTAATTACGCGATAATTAATTCCTCGCGTATATTTAGGAATCTACAGTATGTCTGACCACTGTGTTAGATATGTTGCTATACCTAACTATTACAATAGATGCATGGCTATTCTAGACTGAATTTGATGGATCTATGACTATATCTGACCACTGTGTTAGATATGTTGCTATACCTAATTATTACAATAGATGCATGGCTATTCTAGACTGAATTTGATGGATCTATGACTATGTCTGACCACTGTGTTAGATATGTTGCTATACCTAATTATTACAATAGATGCATGGCTATTCTAGACTGAATTTGATGGATCTTTGACTATGTCTGACCACTATGTTAGATATGTTGCTATACCTAATTATTACAATAGATGCATGGCTATTCTAGACTGAATTTGAAAGATCTATGACTATGTCTGACCACTGTGATAGATATGTTGCTATACCTGACGTTTGTAGTAAACTTTAACCATACCTGACATCTTTGTCGTAGGTAGATGCATGTAGAGGTGTCCTCCCAGATTTCTCAGCTATGCTCTGTTTTGCACCTTTTCTAAGCAAGTATATCACTCCTTCAAACCAACCCTGAAACATACCATTATAATGCAAACCAGTCCAATGAAAGAAGCATAACATTAATTAATTGCAACCTTCAAAACAGGTGGCAATTTCCTTGATGACAACATTAAAAATGTAAAATATTTGAACTCTACAGTCACTAAATTGGTAATTGGTTGGGATTCTTTGCTTGTTATGTAGCTATGCAGTTGTGCAAAACTGACATAGTAAGTAACTATGGTTACTGACTCAGAAATTACTTATACCAAATGTTTAGTTATCAAGTTATGATTACTGATGTTTACTGATTTAGTGTGTATCTATTCATTGTTTGACTTAAGTGTGTAGCTAGAGTTATGACTGGAGCTATGATGTTTATTCTCTTGGTGTGCAAGTTTGTTGCAGACATTGAAAAGTGTGAAGCTATCAGGTTACTGCCATGGTGTGTAGCTATGGTTACTGCCATGGTGGGTAACTATGGTTACTGATTTAATTCATGTGAAGATGAAGATACTGACTTCATATGTTGCCCGGGCCAGTGGAGTCCTTCCCTGACAGTCCTGAGTGTTTATATTTCCTCCCATCTTGATGATTTGCTTCACAGCTTCCAACTGTTTGGATTTTACAGCACACCCCAAGGGAGTTAAGCCTGTAAATTATACATGGAACAAAGAGAATGGTTATTTAAGGGAGGAAATATTTCATTTAATGTAGTATTGCAAAGTACATGTATGTCTTACTGGAAAAAAATACTTTGCAGTAAAAATTATACAAAATTATTTAATATCAAATCAAGAAACCAAATTTTGCTTTATCACTGTCCTTGAAAGATGAAATTTCACCTTAAACTTTGAAATCACATGATAATCTAGGCTTTTAATTGTCATAGAAACAACTTCAACAGCTGCCTCTAAAGACAGCTTTGTTTTTCATGAGGGAAATCTTCAGATAGTGTATTGATTTTTCACCAGGAAATTGTTCATAATGAAAGTATTACCATTAAAATCCCCAGGTTATTTTTGTATGATTTGCTCAGTGAGATCAGATAAAGACATAAAATCTAATATCACACCCTTACTCCAATTAAGAAAAGTAAGATTGCACAATGTTGAATAAGACACTGAATAAGTTCTCATTTCAATCTCACAGGCTTAGCCTTCTGTGCTCGCTGAACTATGTACACAAGTCTTTGTATAAACTGCTCAGAGTGAGATTAGCTGATGATAGTTGATCTCAGACCTCACCCCTACTCAGAAAAGGATAAGTAAAAGAGTAAGATACTGAATTTTTTCTCAGTCCTGTCTGTGCTTGTTTATTTTTAACATATATATACACAAAGTTAAGTCTCTCAAGGTTTTTAAATAGACGTCAGCTGAATCTCATATAAAAAATGTGCCCCTTTACACCATATAGTATTACAAACTTCCTGATGAATAATCCTTTCAGAAATGTACATGTTAGACTAAATATTTTATTCATACTGTAAAATTACCATTTTTCATGGGGGGTTTAATTTTCATTGTTTTCATGGTATGAAGAAACCCATGAATTAATGTCTTCCACGAAATATAAAATTTCAAATGTATAACAACTCTACACTTTGTCAAACACAAAATCAAATCCTTTTTTCCTCAAACCATAAAAATTTGACACCCTTGAAAATAATGTGATTTTACAGTACTGTATATAACTGCAAAGAGCTTTCTATTTTTCATGTTTAGATACTAATATTTGCTCTGTGTTAATTAACTTTCATGATTATCACTTTTTAGCTAACTTAAATGAAGTTAAGATGACCCTATGCTACATCCCTAACTTTGGCATCCTTAAGATCCCAGTTTTACTGTAGATCACAAAATTTTTGCGATACCTTTTTTTCGCGAGGCACTCCTGTACTCTTTATTAGTGAGACAAAATTTTCACAAATTGTGGTTACTACGCTATATAATCTTAAGGAATACTAATATATGCAAGAAAGACTGTCTCACGTAATTACACGAAAAAAAAAGTTCTCGCGAATAAAAAGTTATTTACAGTATAATTTTTGTTGTGGGCTAACTGCTCATTATAATCAAGCAAACAATTTGCTTGCTAGATATACATGTGTAAGGAAGATTTTCAAAGAGATGTAATGTGTCCTTTCAATATATGAACAATATACAGTAAAATCTGGACATCACTGACTCCATGCAAATTTGCTAGATAAGACAACATTCCAGATGAGGCAACATTTTAAACAACTTTCCAGATGAGGCAACATTTTAAACAACTACATTTACTGAAAGAGGCTGAAAGTTTTCATCATGATAGGCAAGATTTTGGAATTTAAACAAGTTTTACTGTAAATTGGTTCTGGCCCCCAGACTGAGGACTGAATCATGACTGCCAGGGGCCATGAATTTTATAATTTTGGGAGAGGGCTACATGTTTTAAATACATGTAATAATTATGCAAGAACTGTAGATGTTCAAAAGTTTATGACTGAAGGACATTGGATGACACATGATGATGAATATGCAAAAATGATGAAAGCAATATGTCATCAGAGGTTAATTATGTTTCTTGGATTTCACCATATTTGAATAATATGGTGCATCTCTCTTTGCAATGCTAAGTGACTGGTCATTAAAAACTGCTATAGCCAGAGAACCAAATTTTGTATTATAGACTTGTTTACTTATCTCCCTTTGCAGTGTTACTGTAATTTCCATTGCTGTTCTTTAGAACCATTCATAGGGTTATATTTACATGTATACTTAAGGTGGATGATCTCTCATTGCAGTGCTAAACTTACCTTCACTGTCCTCTAGCTCCAGAGAGCTGGGGTCCCGTTTAATGGCCTTAACGAGAGCAATTATCTCCCCTTTGGATGCTGCCCTGTGAGCGGGGAGCTGTGAATCAGTCTCTACATCAGGATCAGATCCCTCTGTAACAAAGAGTGAAAAATTTATAAAGGGAGAATAATGCTTGAATCTTTTTTCATGATGATTATAATCTCAAATAGGGAAATGTTGTTGTATATATATAATTTTAAAGAATTCCCCAGTGAGTAAGTATTTTTCAAAAGGAATATATTGCCAGGTTGGGACCAGTTGTGCATCACTTCAAGGCCATAATTTTAAAATGAGTCACTTCATGTCCAAGCTCTATAGGTCAATAGTCAGAAATGAAATGACCACTTTGATAAGATGAGGGTAATTTTTAACAGCAGGAAGATGCATTTAAAAGAAACAAGCAACCATATAGTGTAGGGGGCCTGGGATACTCATCTTTTATAAGTTTATCCCACAAGGGAGACAATCTGATCTGATTTTAGAAGTCAATACCTTGTAGGGAACAATTAACAGTTCTGTGAACAGATAAATAAAGAGAAAATATGGTTTCCTTACCTGAAAAGGACACCCAATCAACAGACAGATTTTTGTCTGGTGACAGAGGATTATGGGATGCTTTGCGTAAAATTTTGTCACCCCGTTTAGAATTGCCATGTTCCAAAGTAACAAGATTCATACAGAGAGTATCCGCCATATCATTTTCTAGAAGTTCAAGCACTTTTCTAGAATCCATTAAAGGTTTAATTTATAATTTATATTCCATCATTCACTTCAGGTAAATTAATTATCATTCACAATTAAGGTTATGAATGTCCTGTTTGAATTTTCAGGTTGTATTCCCCTTCATCCATTTGTATTGATCTTTAGTCACAGATTATCTTTTGACACAACAAAGCTGTCAATCTTCCCATCAAAACAAAAACAAAAAAAGAACAAAAAAAAAACAAAATGAAAATTAATGGGGAAAAAAGCAAGGGAGAGCACTGACGACTTGTCAAATCTCACTTCAATAGATCACATTCAAGGTCCAACAATCTGGACAAATATGTTGCATTCATAAAATATGGAAAATAAAATATTCATCCCAAAACAATATGATCTTCCAACTTCTACAGAGTCTCAGGAAATTCATGGAAAGTGAGAGATGGACCATTATGTTTACAAATATGGCAGGATTACAAAACAGACATAAACTTTGGATTAGAGCAATTAAAGCCCTGTGTAATAGAAGGGTGGGTTTGTAGTTCAGGAGAGGATAAAATGAACATTAAATCCTAATTCTACTGTGCTGTTGGTTAACACAGAGATTAATATGTACAGTTCACATAATACGATTATAACAGGGATAGATTAAGAACACTTTCAGAACTTGGATTGACTTAATTGGCTAAACCTGATGTAACACTCAACTACATGGTTGATTTTTCTGGATGGAGTGTTGACGTTTTATTGTTGTATGTTGTGACCTGCTTTTAAATTTCTATAGGAAGGATGTATCACATTTATTCTTTAACCAGGACACCTTTTAAATTTCTTTCAAAAAAAGGACACCTACAATAATGGATCAGGTTTAATGCATGATTAGACAAAGAATTAAAAAAGAATAACACTTTGTTAACAATCAGATTTTTTTTTACAGTTGTGGTTTTTATGCAAACTTTTCATAAATGACTTTATGTTTCCCAAGGTCCAATCAGAAACTTGAAAGAAAATTCTTACGTCAATTTCATGCAGCTGCTGAAGCTCTTCTTAATTTGTTTTATTGTATAACTGTAATTTTCCACATTTGTCAGATATTCAAAAACTTGGTCCATTTAATAAGAACATATATATGGATTTTATTTGAAGATAATTTTTAATGGATTTAGGATTTGAGAATACAATTGAACCTCATTTTCTCAAACTAACCATGGGACTGAGAAAAAAACTTTGAGATATCTGAGGATTGAGTTTAAGGATGTATTCTGCTGTCAGATAACTTGTATTTACCTTTTCACTTTTGGCATTTTAATTTGATGTATTCATTATTTGAAACAAAATATAAGAAGTACAAAAAATGAGTTAGTGAGCATATTTTTTTATATACCCCCGGTACAAGCTTTAAGGCATTGAAAATATGGCTGGAACCCAGATTTCTTGGGATTTTTCATAGACAATGAATAGAAAATTCTTTCTCTGAAAACTGATGATCTGGAATTTAACTTTTATTAATATTATTTTAGAAGATTATCAAAACCATAAAGATGCAAAATGCAAATTAGTTAATGGGGGCAAAACATTTATGCATATTTTGATGAATAAAACCAAAGTAGTTCTGTAAAAATGGCTGACACCTCAGCATAATCAGCCGAGTACATCCTTAAATATATAAAGAAGAAGTATGTGGCTGAGAGACTTTCAACTCACTATGACATATCATGGCCGTAGGAACCAGAGGGGGGCACACCCCCCCCCCCCCCAATAATTTTGCCGGTATAGATAAGTATAGAAAATATAGCTACTACCTAGCTTGTGCCCCCTCAATAAAAACGTCTGATGACCTTTTTTTTTTGCTTGTCAAGGGATTTTTGTTAGGTGATAGTGCCCCCCAACTGAAAATGTATGACTGTGCCCCCCCCCCCAACTTAAATTGCTGATATATAGATAAGTATAGAAAATATAGCTAATACCTAGCTTGAACCCCCTCAATAAAAACGTCTGATGACCTTTTTTTTCTTGTCAAGGAATTTTTGGTAGTTGATAGTGCCCCCCCCCCCCAACTGAAAATGAATGGCTGTTGTGCCCCCCCCCCCCCCCCAAACTGAAATTGCTTCCTACAGGCCTGCATATCTATGGTGTTCTATTAATATTGATGCCAAAGTTCATTTGTGTACAAATATACATAATGAATCTCTAAAAATTTATCAGTTAATCATAATGAACCATTTAGCTTCAAAATGAGTTTTTCAAATGAAATATTTGAAAAAGGGGGTGGGGAAATCTTTTATTTCCCCCTTCTCTTTTAAAGATAGAAGACATTATCTGAGTAGGTTAAGTTGAGTGCTGAGTGGACTCACGTCTGGGGTGGTATTTCCTGTGTACAGCTGACATATGCCCCTGATTATCAAAGAACACTGAAATCTACCATCATCAAGTCCATATATAGTTATTTGTGTGAATTTTTCCTTTTAAATTCTCCTCAGATCAAAACATCACTCTCCATTGTTATTGTCCATGGACATCAAGTTCAAAGAAAATTATTTAAACAACTAATCATGGTCCATCATAAGACTATTTTCAAAACTTCAAACCATCTGAGATAAACTTCCCTGTTGTGAAATGCAGAGTAACTTGATATTTTTATGTCACAGTCCTGCATTTGATCAATGTTCTAAATCTGATCAATGCAACTTCATTGAAATGATAATTGAGTTTTCTTAATGAAGGATTAAAAGTCTGCTTTACTCCAGTGCCATATAGATTTTTAAATACTTATTCTCTAAGCAGGAACATTGTCAACTGCTGACCCAGAACAATTTGTTTGTCTACTGGATCTGTCTCTCAGATTGCTATTTAAAAAACTCCAATAAATTATGGATGAAGGCCATTTATAGGAACAAGCTTTAGCAATATGACAGAACCCTTTTTATATTAAATTGTCAGAAGAGTATTTAGAAATGGCCATTGTGTAAATAATCATATGACCTGTACGTATATTGATTTACGAACGGTCTCTATTAATTGATTTCAATAAATCATGACAGTTTTATTTATAAATGGTGTGCAATATTTGCATGACTTCTCGAGGCTATGAGAAATGTACATTCAGTTGCTTTCAACAAACTTTTGAACAAACATTGAATTTACATTAAGTTCATGCAACCATATGTAGCTAGATTGTAATATGGGCAAAATAATGATTTTTGATTCAAAAAATCTGATTATTAATCATATGATTGTTAAAATTCATTTCATTTCTATTGTCTATAGCATATTAGTTTCTGCCCCACCCCCACCCCATTCCTCCTGAAAAACAAATATTAAATAAACAAAAACAAGTAGCAACATAGAGACACACCAATGGAATTGATTAGAAGAAACTACATTGTTTAGTTATTGTTTAAAATAATAATTTACTGCACAGTTTGTACAGTATTTTGATGGTCAGACAAACTTTTACAAACAATACTTATTGATTAACTTTCATAGTTCATCAAAATTTAACAGCAATACTAAAACAAACAGGTGTCAATGAACTTAAGTTAATGCAAATGATTTAGCTCTCTCCAAACTCTGTATATATATATATATGTGCTCATTGATTTGTATTGTCTGAAAATTTGATTAAGTTAACATGAAACTTCTTATAATACAGGAGTCAGTACCTATCAATGATATAGCAGATATAACAAGAGACAGTACTTGCTGATGTAATAAAAATGACAGCACCTACTGATGTAATAAGAGACAGTACTTACTGATGTAATGAAAGTGACAGCACCTAGTGATGTAACAAGAAACAGTACTTACTGATGTAATAAGAGACAGCACCTACTGATGTAACAAGAGACAGTACTTACTGATGTAACAAAAGTGACAGCACCTACTGATGTAATAAAGAGACAGTACTGACTGATGTAATAAGAGACAGCACCTACTGATGTAATAAGAGAGAGTACTAACTGATGTAATAAAAGTGACAGCACCTACTGATGTAACAAGAGACAGTACTTACTGATGTAATAAAAGTGACAGCATCTACTGATATAACAAGAGAGAGTACTTACTGATGTAATAAACATGACAGCACCTACTGATGTAACAGGAGACATACTAATTGATGTAATAAAAGTGACAGCATCTACTGATATAACAAGAGAGAGTACTTACTGATGTAATAAAAGTGACAGCACCTACTGATGTAACAGGAGACAATGCTTACTGATGTAATAAAAGTGACAGCACCTACAGATGTAACAAGAGACAGTACTTACTGATGTAATAAGAGACAGCACCTACTGATGTGACAAGAGACAGTACTTACTAATGTAATAAAAGTGACAGCACTTACTGATGTAACAGGAGACAGTACTAACTGATGTAATAAAAGAGA